AAACCCCAAAACCCCAAAACCCCAAAACCCCAAAACCCCATTACCCCTTTTTATGTAGAGATTAAGATTCGGATTGATTAGATTTGTAAAGATATAAACTAAATTAAATGGATAGAGCAGTATCAGTCAAAGATTTTGAACAACTTGCAAGCGAAAATCTTCACAAACATGCCTATGATTACTATAGGGCTGGAGCGAACGCTGCTATATCTCTTAATGATAACGTAGAGAAATTTAGAAATATTCCTCTAAAAACAAGAACCTTTGTTGATCCAAAGAAATTCAAAGGTCTTGAGACTACAATAATGGGATAAAAAGTTTCATCCCCTATTTGTATTGCTTCAACTTCATTCTAGAAGATGACTAATGAGGATGGTGAGTTAGCTATGGCTAGAGGTGCTTAAGCCTTTAATCATACTACTTTCATGCTTAGCTCATGGTCTAATGTCCCACTTGAAGATGTGGCTTAGCAAGCTCCAGATTGCTTTAAAATGTTTCAAATTTATCTGTCAAAAATACCAGATGTTAATAAAGATCTATGGATAAGAGTTAAAAATTCAGGTTTCACTGCGCTTGGACTTACAACTGACACTTAAATGCTTGGCAAGAGAGAAAATGACTTGAGAAATGGTTTCTCATTGCCAGAAGGATTGAACATGGCTAATTATAATAAGTATAACAAGACTCATGGTCAAAATTAAGATATCAAATCCAGTGGAAAGGATTCAGGTCTTAGTGAATATGTCAAGAACCACAAAGACTAAAACATTGGATGGGAGATTATCAATGAGATCAAGAAGATTAGTGGTCTTCCAGTAATTGCTAAAGGTATAATGTGCAAAGAAGATGCTCTTACTGCAATTGAATACGGGGCAGATGCCTTGTTTGTCTCTAATCATGGGGCAAGATAACTTGATACCACACCAGCAACTATTGAAGTACTTGGAGAAGTAATTGAAGTGCTCAAAGAAAAGGGCTTAGACAAAAAAATTGAAGTCTATTTCGATGGAGGGATCAGAAGAGGAACTGATGTCTTCAAAGCTCTTGCTATTGGCGCAAAGGCAGTATTCTTGGGAAGACCTATCCTCTGGGCAATGGCAGCAGGAGGATAAAAAGGAGTTGAAAAAGTCCTCAAGATTATGAATGATGAACTAAAGGAAACAATGATCAGAACTGGCTGCTACTGTATTGAAGATATTTCCAAGAATGGAGTTATTTACCCAAAAGAGGATCTCTTATTCACAAAACTATGATAAAATCTTACTAATTTCTTTAATATTTCCTATTCAATTTTTCATGTTTGAGCTAACTTTGTTATTATAAACTGATTATTAATTCACTTATTAAATTTTCAAATGGAAACTATCTAAAATTAAGCTACAGAATTGCGCGAAACTGACACTAATCAATAGGTGAAACTAGAAGAGGAAAAATTGGTCTACGATAGGGAGGAATATGCTAAAAAGGATTTCTGGAACGATAGATTTAAAGAGTAATATAAAATATATATGCTTATTACTTATTTACAGGTCTAAGGGTTTCTTCGATTGGTATGCTAAATGGGACTAAATAAAGCCGAAATTTCTCGAACTCTTTCCTCTTGAAACTCACAGACACTCAAGTTTTCTTATGGTAGGCTGTGGAAACTCAAGTAAGTCAAATTATGTCAAATATTGTTGAATCTAGAGCTATCTGAAGAAATGTACAAGGAAGGATTTTAACAAGTAACAAATATGGACATATCAGATGTGGTTCTTTAAAAAATGCAAGAAATCTACTACCCTGAGAAATGTCCTACCTTTGAATGTAAGCTTATTATATTGTTGATTTTCGATAAGATATTCCTATGGACGCTACTAACATGCAATTTAGAGATGATTCATTTGATTTTGCTATTGATAAGGGTACCTATGATGCACTGGCTGTAATCATGTTTTTAGAGTAAAATGCTCTATATAGTGTGGACCTTCTCAGGAAATTTTAAGGAATTTAGTTAAGGAGATGCTGAGAGTTTCAAGTAAGGCGGCAATAATCATTTCCTCTGGAACTCCAATTAAGAGAATGAGTTTTCTTTAGAACTTTACTGAAAACAAACATAAAATAGAATACTTTGAATTAGAGCTATCAAGGCTTTCAAATTTAATAAACATACTGAGAACAGAGTTGAAAGACAAACCACTGTCTTATGCTATCAAGTAAAAAGATGTCCTGAAAAACGCTCTACTTTAAAGTAATACCTTCCACCTCATATCATATAGTTATCGAAGCAGAGCAAATTAAGGAGGAGAGTAAAGATCCCAGGAAAAAGCTGCTTAGACTTATGATGAAAGCAAAGGCTAAAAAATAGCAAGATGACATTAATAAAGCTTTTGCCGATTAAAAAATCATAGATGAAGCAATAGCTTAAAAAGATATTGATTAATTAAATGTACAAACTGCAAACGCTGAATAGTAATCACAGAATGATCTTGAATCTAATAAGTACCAAGAAATTGGAGATATTCCTGCTGATTAAGATGAAAGTAAAGTTATTGAATAAGACATATAAAAAGATAAGGAAAACTTGGAATAAACTAAGAATCCAAATTATAACCCAAAGAGATAAGAATTTGTTATGATGTATGTGATTTACAAATGATTAGCTTACTAATAGAAGTCTTATTTGAGTTTTGATATTTAAAAAATTAATTCAATCTATTCCTCTAAATTATCATTATGGGGTTTTGGGGTTTTGGGGCTGGCTCGAAGGCAGCTTTATCAGCCACTCTACA